ATGGATAAATCTGTGTGTCTGTCTATCTATCTCAGCCGGTTCATATCTATCTATCTATCTATCTATCTATCTATCTATCTATCTATCTATCTATCTATCTCAGTCTTTTCATATCTATCTATCTATCTATCTATCTATCTATCTATCTATCTATCAGTTCCATATTTTCATTCATTCCTTCTGTCTCAATCTGTTCATATCTATCTATCTATCTATCTATCTATCTATCTATCTTACAGTTTTCCTTTTCTTTCATTCTATTTATTTATCGCACAATTTGACCCTTTCTTTTATCTATCTATCTATCTATCTATCTATCTATCTATCTATCTATCTTTTCCTTCATTTCTTCTGTATCTATCTATCTATCTATCTATCTATCTATGCCAGTCTGTTCATATATATCTCATTCTATTTATAATTATTTATCTCTGTCATAAATCTATTACAGTCTTTTCTATCTATCTATCTATCTATCTATCTATCTATCTATCTATCTATCTATCTATTCACCTCAGTCTGTTCATAACTGTCTATCTATCTTTCTATCAGTTTGTTTCTTTCATTGTTTATATCTATTTACATTATATATATTATTTTATTTATAGCATATAACATAAGATACATCATACCGTATTTAGAAAAAAATGACAAACTGCAAATGTTTTTTTGTGACGCGTTTCATCCGTTAGAATTTCATCGAACTGTGCTTTGATGACGTTGACACGTCTACACATGCGCACGGAACGAAAGACGCGGGTAGTTTGAAAATAAAATCCGGAATGGTCATTGGATTCTATTTAAGAGCACTCAGAATTTGCAGCCCTCAGTGTTTACATGAAGAGGAGAAATATATTGAAAATACATTCAAGAACCTTCAATACTATATTTCATTTTCAAAGACTCATAAAATATTCCAAAATAAAAGAGCTTTCATTCCTGACCAACCTAACGAATCAAAAAAAAAAATTTTTCTACCCACTAACTCTATCGCAACTACAACCGAAAATTTTGTCACAACTACGCCTAAAAAGGATCGAAAACGTAATCAATAAATAACACCAAAAACAACCAGCCAGAGCTTGAAGGAGGAATTTACTCATTCAAATGCAGGAATTGCCAAAATGAATATATTGGAGAAACAAGAGACTATATGAACATAAAAGGGACATTTTAAATAACAACACACAAAACGCATTGGTTGTTCACCGTAAGAAAACAGACCACCATTTACAACAACCTCCACCGAATTTCAAATTAATTTCTTCGTAGATTGTTTTAACATTTAGACATTTATCAAACCTTAACCTTCCAAATATGCACGTTAAAGTAACGCGAACTGACAGCGTCTAAGAATTTGAAGGAAACCTGTCGTGTAATTTATTGGGGTTGTAAATTCTTCCTTTAATGTCGTTCTTATCATTCACCCCTTAGCCATCTATATCTAGAGACGAGACGCGTTAAATTTGAGCAACATCTAGCCGACACATAGGAAACTATTAGTCGGCCTTTTCATTAAATAGAATCATTATGAGAAAGATGAAAAATCGAAATTTTCCAGCACGTTTTTATCATTTCACAGCGAGACGACAAATAAAAAAAAAATGGAGTGTTTTTTTTTTTCAGTGGAATTTTTTTCCACATGTGTTATATTACTGAAGGAATCGAGTACTTTTAAGCTTTTTAGATGGGATCCTAGTATTATTAATTTTTAAAACTGATCCACAGATATCTCGATGTTTTTATTTTAACAGAGCATATATATTTTTACAGCAAAAAAAAAAACAAAAAAAAAAAAAACAAAAAACAAAACAAAACAAAACAAAAAAACAACAAATAAACAAAACAAACCAAAAAAAGCAAAAGAAAAAAACTACCTCAATATCGAGAAAGTCTATTTCAAGCCATTCTGTACGTGGCTGTCATCAGCCCCTAAGTGTCTGTCTCGGAGCATTGTTTTAAGTTTATTTTCAATATCACTCCTCTTCTGGTAGACGCCTTTTTTTTTTTTAATGAGAATGGGTTTGTGTTAGCGATTGGTGGGGGCGTAAGATATCTTATCCCGGGGGAAGAGGTCTAGGTTTGGAGTTTATTTATGTCCAGAACCTTGTTGTTTGTAGTTTAATATCAGTTCCTGCTATGTGGCGTTTCTTATCCCGAGTGTGTTTTTCTGGGATTCACAGTAAATAGTTTTTGTACTACAGGTGTCCAATATTATAAATAAGCGATGGGGGATTTAAACTTAAAACCGTTAAGATTAATGTAAATTAATTGAGTTATAGATTGTGGTTAATCCCAGAGCACCCAATGGAATAAATCATGCTGTCCAACACACTTATATGCGTACATATCTTCATACGTACATATATGTACATTTACATGCCCATACATATATCCCACTATACGTACACATACACCCCCACATATGTGCACATGTATTCTTACGTAATTTGGAATCTATTTCTACGTCGACATTTCGTGATTAGTTCTCTCCGTTGATTTAATAGTTTGCATTGATCTTTATATTTTATTATCCTGATTTTTTCTTGCTGGCGCCTGTCCCTAAAAATATTGAGTAGCGGGTGTTCGTTAAACCAAGAATTTTAAAATTTATTTGAGGATTAAGACCCTTTTCCTTCAATTCCAAAACTTTTTTCAAAAGGGCTGTTTGGTGTTTTAATTTTATATTGGTGAATGAATATCTATGTATATTGATTATTTTTTTAAATTCTGCAGAAATGCTGATGTAAATATTATAGTTTGTCGTATTTTCTTTGGGGGTAATGGTTGCCTGGTATACTACACTAGTGGATATTCACTTGCCCTCTAGTGGGCAGTTTTCCTTAATTCTACAATTAAAGTGGGCGTTTCCATGTTAGATTTAGTTTTTTTCTCATGGAACTTACTTAAAATGTAATTGTTATGGGAATTAATAATTTGGTACATATTATCAGTACAGGAGTAGATCATTTTGACTGATTTCCTGTTTATCTTATTTAGAGTGTTTTTTGTTGAAGTGTTTAGTAATTAAGTTTATGAAGTACTGTCCGATGTTGATACTTGACAGTTCGCAGGAGGGGGATTGAACCAAGTGATTTTTCATTTCGTATTTTTACACCTCCATTCCACTTTTCGTGTATCGGTATTACTAATGGTGGTCACGTAATACAATTTACTTTTGAAACAACATTTTTGGCCGGCCTTTTCATATAGTTCTTTAGTCTTGGAAGACTGGCCGTTAATTACTATCTTCAGGGATCTACCTGTTAGAACTGATTTTATAATAGAGAAAATCCTTCCAGGGATTTCATGGGTCGAGAGCTTGTGCAGCAAACCATTTCTGCTACCTCGTATGTCAGTCCCTCCCTGGCCTCTTTCACTTTAGCGTTCCTTTCGCTTCTGTTATCTTTTAATGTAGCCAAGGGTCATAACAAATATGTATCCATTATTTGACATTAAACGTAGGCAACGCAACTTGGTAAAATAAGTCTCATGAAAGATAACCGGCAGATCTAATTCAAAAGCCTCGTCTCTCATGTTAAAAATAGAGTCATTGGTAATCAGGCTCGTGGGCCGGTCAAAATGCCTTCGCGGGCCGTATCCGGTCCGCGGGCCGTAGGTTGCCGACCCTTGGTGTAAGAGATGGTAAATTTGGGATCTACTTTTTTTTTGAGGTTAGGATTGCTAGTTTTGTTCGTTTTCAATTTGATTGCTTTCATGTTTGTTTCGGTTAGTTTGGGGGGGTGGTGACTAGTGGCCAGTAAAACAGACACCCATTGGAGATGCACGCATAAATAACCTGGGATGACTCGCCTGGATACTGCCGTAACAATACTCATCATCATGGCATCGAGAGGCCCCACCGGCGGTCTACTGCACGGTCCAGTATCCATTCACAAAATGGCAGTACAGTAAACCCTATATTATACACCTGCTGATAGGATAGACTCCGAAGTTACTTAAAGTTTCGAATCCCCTCCCCACACACACACACAAAAGTTTACCTCCGGCACCCTTTACGAGCAGACAAATAAACCAGGTGAGATTCAGGCGTGATGCTCCGAATGTATGTGTCTCGCCCTCCTAGAGGTCAGGGCAACAGAACTCCTCGTTGGGTCAGAAACATCGTACCGGTCAGTGACCTAGGGTACCACACACACACATCTTGCGGCCTCAGCCGAGATTGAACTCACTAATACTTTGATTGGTGTAGTTCATAATCTTGTCAAATAGCTGAATTCTTGATGCTTCGCTAGGGCTATCAAGGGTGTTTTTTATCGTGACACCATCACTAAATGGATTGCCAACCAAGGCTCAGAGAGACTCCATTCACCCTCCTCTAAGAGCAGGTTTGAATTCAGAGTTTTCCTTCTCCTAGACCAGTTGCCATCCAAGGCTATAGAACCCAGTCTGTCCTGCTATTTACCCATAGCTGGAGGGAGAAGAAAGAGGATTCACACCTTTCCCAAGGGTGTTAGCACGTAAGTGAATGTAATGGATTCGACTGGAATTCGAACTCGGCTCTCCGCTTCCTCAATCCAAGCCGCTATCCATTTCTCCACCGTGCCTAATAGGGTACCAAGGCAGACACGCTCATATAGCTTTGTAATGACCGTTTGTAGGAGAGACTTTGTAAATCACAGATACAACAATAGTAACGCCTTTGAACAAATACTCGGTCAGACGCCGCTAATTCCCATACATATCTATTTTACGTTTACCCGTCGCCTGATCTAATTATTTCAAGATGAGGTCGACTGTGCTTGCTCTCTGGCGATCTGTGTTCAAACCCAAGTGTCAGCAGCGACAATTTATTCCAATATGACATATACATGAGGACTAAAAGACTCATTGAAAAAAGATGAGTGACGAAGGTTGCCCGGCGGTGTATGTACAACCCCTAACCCGATTAGGGTTAGTATCAGGGGCATGGATGTTAGGCTGAGGACATACGGAGGGAACTTAATTATTCTATTTGAGAGAGAGAGAGAGAGAGAGAGAGAGAGAGAGAGAGAGAGGGAGAGGAGAGAGAGAGAGAGAATTAGAATTAAAATATAATTACTCCTGTCATAGCACAAAGCGGAAAATTGACATTTGTTCTGAGAATTCATTAGAATCGGCTTAAAAGGGGGGGAGAGAAAAGATTAGGGGTGGACGTGATAGTTATAGAGTTTTAATTTAGTATAAATCCAAAGATCCTCCACCTCCTTGGAAAGCGTAGAATATTTGCACACAAGCCGGTTTACGGCACCAAAAAAAAAAAAAAAAAATTCCATTAAATATTATTTTATCAACAATTAACATTACATTAATGTGAAAGTAAACAGTACAGACGCCCCTAAAATTTTACTTATATATATATATATATATATATAGATAGATAGATAGATAGATAGATAGAAATGAGCTAAATAAAGAGATATGATCGATCATATGTGTGAGTACGTACACATACAGGTGAGTCAATAAATATGTATTTAATCAGACATTTTGGCGTAGACAAAACAGTGCTCAGTGTAATCAAACGGA